GGGTACACGGAGCCAGGGGAATGGGGGGCGGGGGACGGAGGGATTGGGGTGCCCGGGGCCGGGTGCCCAGGGCTGGAGGATTGGGGTGCACGGAGCCGGGACTGGGGTGCACGGGGCCGAGGGTTGGGATGCACAGAGCCTGGATTGGGGTGCACGGGGCCAGGAATTGGGGTGCACGGAGCCGGAGGATTGGGGTTCACAGAGATGGGGCACTGGGGTGCATGGGACCGAGGGATTGGGGTGCCCGGGGCCAGGATTGGGGTGCATGGAGCCGGGGGATTGGGGTGCACAGAGCCAGGGGATTGGGGTACGTGGGACCAAAGGATTGGGGTGCACAGAGCCGGGATTGGGGTGCACAGGGCCAGGAATTGGGGTGCACGGAGGCAGGATTGGGGTGCACGGGGCCGGGGGTTAGAGTGCACAGAGCTGGGGCACTGGGGCGCACGGAGGTGGGGGATTGGGGTGCGTGGGACCAAAGGATTGGGGTGCGTGGGGCCAGGGATTGGGGTTTATGGAACGAGGGATTGGGGCGCACAGAGCTGGGGTGCATGGGGCCGGGGGATTGGGGTGCACAGAGCCAGGGATTGGGGCGCATGGAGCTGGGGGATTGGGGTGCACGGAGCCGGGGGATTGGGATGCACAGAGCCAGGATTGGGGTGCACGGGGCCAGGAGTTGGGTTGCACAGAGCTGGGGCACTGGGGTGCACGGAGGCGGGGGATTGGGGTGTGTGGGACCTTAGGATTGGGGTGCACGGGGCCAGGGTTTGGGGTTTATGGGACGAGGGATTGGGGTGCACACAGTTGGGGTGCATGGGGCCGGGGGATTGGGGTGCATGGAGCTGAGGCACTGGGGCGCACGGAACAGGGGTGCATGGAGCCAGGGGTTGGGGTGCACAGAGCCAGGGGTTTGGGGTGCATGGAGCTGGGGCACTGGGTTTCTCAGAGCTGGTGCACAGAGCCAGGGGGTTGGGGTGCATGGGGCCGAGGGATTGGGGTGTCCTGAGCCAGGGGACCAGGGTGCACAGAGCCAGGGAGATTGGGGTACCCTGAGCCAGGGGACCAGGGTGCATTAAG